TCTGGGCTCCAGCCCAGACCTACTGCATGACAGCCTCGGGATATTTGGCGTGCATGTGTGTGTATGTGAAGGTGTATGTCTTTGAAAGGTCAGGAATCTGCATTGTTTTATATGTGTCCCAAATGAAGTTTGAGATCCTCTGCTTGATGCTAATATGGCAAGCTGTCAAGTATTTGAGCCTAACCACACTACTCCTCTGGATAAAACCCATCGGTGGTTTCTCTTTGTTGAAGGTTTGGAACCTCAGCATTACACACAAAGCACAAAGCCCCTTCCTCTCCAGCCTCTGCTCCAGGTTGGATCAAGTCACAGATTACAGCTACAACATACTTTTTCATGTTCCTCATGACTTGCTGGTTCCTACTCCTAGAGACTCACGACGATGTGTACTTCTCTTTCCCGACTACCTCAAGTATCCCCTTCACTGATAAGTCTTCCTCCATCTTCAGATCAGGTAGGTTTCAGTTCCCTTCTACGTGTCCACATCCTGCTCGAAGCCAGGGTTTCTTAAGCTGGGCATGTTTAATATTTGGGGCTGGATGATTCTTTTTTGTGGAGGGACTGACCTGCTCATTGCAAGATGTTTAGTAGCATCCCTGGCCTCTACCCACTAGATGCTGGTAGCAACCTCTGAGCTGAGAACCAAAAATGTCTTCAGACATTGCCACGTGTCCCCTGAGGGCAAAATTGTACCAGATTGAGAACACTGCTCTACTTACATATAGTCCTCACCAAATTATGTAGAAAGTAGCTGTTTGCTTGTTTATCTCTTCTAAGAGTCTAAGAGTTCAGGTGCAGGGGCTATACAAAATTTATCCTCATGACCCCTGTGCCAAAGCATAACACCCAATGCATACAGTAGGCATATAACACATATTTCCTCCGTAGCAAGACTTTGAGGTGCCAGGTGTCAGAAGACCTAGATTTTAGCTTATCTTGGTTGGCTCTATTGCTTAAAATGTGGTGACTGTGGACAAATCAGGTAGCATCTCTGTGCTCTGGTTTCCCTCATTTGGTTCTGGTTCTTTTCTGCTTTGTGCTAGGATGGCTGCTTCCTGGTATGCTGACCTTTAATATCAGTGGTAGGAAATTAAACAGGTTTTACATCTGCAACTGCTCAGGATTCACAGTATTAATAGGGAGATTCATCCACTCTGAAGGATGATTTTTTTTCCCTCTAATACACCCTATGAAATGCCTCTTTGGTTATTTCATTATCTTCAAGAAAGGCTTCTCTTTCTCTCTCTCTCCCTGTTTCTTTCACTCTCTCTCTCTCTCCTTCTCTGTTTGCCTACTTTATGACTTCCTTTTACATTCTGGGCATTCCATCACTGTGGCTTCTGTGTTCTCCCAGCACTGTGGTGGGCTGGTTTATATATCTTGCTCCCTCCTTTAAGCAGAAGGAATTAGTTTCCAGATTGAATTCAGCTAAGAAGGACCCCTGTTGCAGGGAAATGTGGACTCTGCCACCACCAACTCCCCTCCACCAGCAGCTGGCTGGGGCTTTCCATTAACCATTTCATGCCCTGAACTTGGAGGCTACGGAAAGCACTGACAAATTGTAAAATTCTACGTAAATGAGTCACAAAGTGCCAGACACATATCCTTTAGCCTGCAAGGGGAGCTTGAAAATCATCTAGTCTAGCTCTTTCATTTTCAACTTGGGAACAGTGAAGCCTGAACAGATCAGGGGACTCACTCATTACTATTTTCTTTGCAGTTTCTTACGATCTCAAAAAGTCAATCTCAATCATTCTGTTGCTTTCTTAATGCATCACAGCTAATCTTTATTTTCCATCTTTTCCTATACTTCATGATCCTCTCTTTAAGCTTAAAATAAGAATTTCCTTTCAATACAGGGTTTGGGGATGTCTCATCTGAAGGAGGTGACAGATGTTTTTAAAATAGTGAGCTCTGTTTTTCTAGGTCTACAGTAGCACATGGTTTAGAAGGATGAACAAGGTTTTGTTTTTTTTTACCCCCAAGGGACAGTTCTTTTCATGCAAATTGAAAATAGCTCTGTTCTATTCCTCGATTTTTTTTCCTTACAACTTTCTTTTAAAAACTTCTTAGGCAGATTACCAGGATTTGTTTATAAGAAGACAGCTGTTGAGAAAATGTGCAGTGCTCATTAGCCACTAAAATGTTTTCTATTCGAGAATTTTTGAAAACTTGCAATATAAATGCACCTGTCTCTTAGTTTACCTGAAGAGCTCATGGATGGTTTTGTTAAGAAACTTGGCAGCCTGTTGCAACCTGAGAGTCTAGGATTGCTCATTGCGGATCAAAACAATGGTGTTTCCTTGGGGACTCAGATGAGTAAAAAACTACAGTGGGTGGAGGGAGACTGACATAGGATTTCAAACTTTGGTTTTGCTAAACAAGTACAGGAAAAGAAAAAAAAAAAAAAGAAGACCACCATCATCCATAGTCATGATGGTTTCTTAAAAGAAAGAGTACTATTGCTCAAAAACAAAAAAACAAAACAAAACAAAATAGGATATAATCTCACGACATTGATTTTACTTTTTCACATTTTGAAAGCATGTCTCCGAATCAGCATGTTGAAACCACCAAACCTAGATTAATTAATCCAAGAACCAGAGTGGGGAATTATAATGTCAAATCCTGTTAAAAAAAAAAAAAAGGAAGAATATACTTCTTTGATTTGTATTGATATTAACTATTGCTCATGTCATTTGTTTCTCCAGTTGGGGCCAGGTGTTAATTATGTCTGAAGATTTCTAGATTACTAGGGAAACAGCACAGTGGAATCCATATGCCCAGACTCACAGACCTGGTGGGGAGAACCTCTAACTTTGCTACCACATTCCATAAACCACTTAACCTGTTTGCTTCTTCATCTTTAAAAACACGACCTATTTCACAGGATGTTGCATAAAATGAAATTATAAATCTGCAAGCACTTAATAAACTATAAAGTGGTCTATGGCTGTGAGATTTTGTATCTCTAAAGTTTGTGGACTTTTTTAAAAAAATTAAAACCTTATCAAGGTTGTGTTAATCTGTCTACAATGTCGGATGAAATTTATCAACCTACATTTTTCATAGGAGAGGACAGTATATAAAGTATGTGTCAGTGCCTGGCATAAAATAGACCATTATTTTTATTCCCTTTACCCACTTGGAGTACATTTTTGACTCTACAGATAATATAAATGCCAAACATTTCACAATATAAGTGATCGCGAAAATTTGAAAATTTTTTGGATACGTGAGTGAAAAGGATATCAAAATAACCTTTAGGTTATGAAACCATAAAACCAGCTACAAACCAGCTCTTTCACCTCACTTCCTTCTCTTACTCCTCTGCGCCCTCTGCCGACTGCATATGTGTATTGCATTAGCAAATTTAACTCTTGAACAAAAGTATCACAATTTTCCCCAGCCCACGACTGAAAGTCCTAACACACAAATTACCACTTCAAGGAATCACGGTGCCTTCTTTTTCAATTTTAATAATACCAGGAAAACTTAGTCATAATGTAAAAACTAAATAGGGATAAATATAAATAGAAAATAAAAAATCAAATGTTAACTCTACCTTCAATAGAACTATCAACATTTTGTTGTATCTTTATTCTATTTTGTCTTCATAAGATGTATGTTATTTTTCTTACAAAGATAGAGTTATGCTGTATATAATTTTTACAAACTTGTTTTTAGCACTGTTTATGGTAAACCTCTTTCCATGTCAATAAAATGGACCATAAAGTGGCTCCCTCGTGTTCCATTGCAAGGATATCCCATATACCTTTATACGTTTATAAAGTACAGTCTGATTTCAGCTTTTCTGATGCTGGTTTGTTTGTTTGTTTTTAATTTTACTCTTATGCCCCATATTGTCCATGAAGATAGGTCAGAAGCTAAAGCAAAAATTGATAATACTTCATAATTAATATTAGGGGCAAAAAATGATACACCAGTACCCAAGATCTCAATATGCTGTATTGTTAAATATTTCTATTGCCTGTTTCCATTTCCTGCACTGCTTATGCTTTTCTACTAAATTGGATTAAAATATATTTGTCATAAGCAAAGAGTAACATTTTAGAAAGGTTTAAAGTCTTTTTCCCAATAAGACTCAAGACTCAAGATATTTCATCTCCAAAATGAGAGTTGACAGCATGAACAAGAAAAAATCAGAGGTCTGGAAAGCCCGAGTGAAAATTAGAAATATATTTGCCATGTTCAACTCCCAATGAAGGAATGAATATCCTCTATTATACTGAGAAAAGTCTGGTTAGTGGGAAGCTGAAGATAAACTTGAGAGTTTTCTCAAGACTCACAGGAAATAATAAATAATTGAAAATAATGGGAGAAAAAAGATAGGAAATTAGGAGTCTGAAAGATGTAGTTTGTGCAAAGTAGGAATTCCACAGCAGGAACTGGAACCACAAGAGAACACAAGCAAAAATAAAAGCAACAGAAGAAGAAATTTTTGAGCTAAATAAATATTTGAGTTTAAAGTTTAAAAATGGTTCACTGAAAGTAAATGGGACACATGCCTATAGGTATAACCAGGCAAAGCTCTTGAACATGAAAGACAAATCAAACTTTTCATAAGAACAAAGGCTCTTACAAGAGTCTAAAATATGTATTTTAGAGAGAAATACAAGCCAAGCAATTCTCCCTAATACTAAATGCCAATCTTCAATGTTTATAGGACTTTGAGGATTAATCAAAATTAAGAACTCAAGAATAGGGACGCCTGGGTGGCTCAGTCGGTTGGGCGTCTGCCTTAGGCTCAGGTCAAGGTCCCAGGGTCCTGGGATCGGGCCCCGCATCGGGCTTCCTGCTCGACGGGGATCCTGCTTCTCCCTCTCCCTCTGCCTGCCCTTCCCCCTGCTTGTGCTTGTGCTGTCTCTCTCTCTGTCAAATAAATAAAAATAAAAGCCTAAAAAAAAAAAAAGAACTCAAGAATAGTGAAGGCGTAGTTTAAAGTTTCCTTTCATAAACTTTTTTTTTTTTTTTTGCAGAGTTCCAGTAAGGAAAACCAGCAAAAGCTTAGCTCTTACTTGTGAAGCAGGGATGGAGGACTGGAACTTGACCTGCTAGTTTGCCCTCCTTCCCATGATGGGGCCAGAGGTACCTCCTCAGACATTTTGAAAACCACTGTTCTAGTCCATTTAATAACATGAAATAGGAAAATAATTGGTATAGCTATTGGAAAAGCTATGGTGAAGTTATCCTTTTATCCTCCCCTGGCAATATGATTGTATATATAGAAAACTGAGAACAACTTAAAAACGAATGGAACTAACAAAAGACTTTAGTGTGGTGATCAGTTTATACATATATACTTAGATATATTTATACATATATACACACACACATATATGAAGATCAACAGAATATATGCACATACAATTCATATATTTGTGTGTATATATTCTGATACTGAATATATGAATATCATATAATAATGAATATCAGAATGCAGAGCAACAGAATTCCTTGATTAATTCCCTCAACAGATGTTTATATACCAGGTGTGTGCTAAGAACTGGGGACACAGTGTTGAGAGGGATGGGCAGGTCTAGATGTTGAGCTTGTGCTCTGATGGAGGAGACAGATGCTCAGCTAATTTCAGATCAAGATCAGTGCTAGGAAGAAATTAGCATTTATTTGTTTAGCTTTTATTGTTTTCCTCTTGCCCCCACTGGGATACAGGTCCAATCACAAGTGGAAATCATTTTTTTTAGGGGGGAGGGGTAGAGTAAGAGGAAGAGAGAGAATCTTAAGCAGGCTCCAGGCCTATCGGGGAGCCCAACATGGGGCTCGATCTCACGACCCTGTGATCATGTCCTGAGCCGAAATCAAGAGTCAGACACTTAACTGACTGAGCCACCCAGGCACCCCTGGAAATCAATTTTGTACAGGAAAAAAAAAAAAAAAAGCCAAAGGCTGAGTTAGCACATAAGAGGCTGGGGAAGAAGATTCTCTGGAGAAAGGATTCGGGCTGACACGTGAAAGATGGGAATGAGTGAGGAGTGTGGAGAGGGCGGACATGTGGCTGGACCCCAGACACTGGGGACCAGCAGGCTGGAGGGCAGTGAGGGGAGAATGGGGAAGATGAGGACAGGGCTCCCAGGAAGGGCTAGTCAGACAGCACAGGACGCTGTAAGCTAGGGTGAGAACACTGATAGAAAGAAGTGAACAAACCTAAGCTATGTGGAAAGTATAAATAGCAAAAACTGTTGACTAATTGCATGCGGGTTTTGAAGGAAAGAAAGCGGTATCAGTAGGAGGTTTTCAAACTTCCAAAAAGATCTGATGGGCACAACACCGTAGGGAGATGGCGGCAAGGAGAGGCGACCTGAATGAGTCCTTTCCCCAGGTGCAACTGGCCTCAGCTAGGTCGTCCGAATTCACGAAGGACTTAGTCTATATTCCCGGAGAAGACAGCGAGGCTTCTGACCCAGACTTGAGACCTGCCCTCTGAGAGAGGACTCCAGGCGTGCAGAAAAAAAGGGCCACAGTGTTTATTCTGATGAGTATCAGAGCGCAGCCTGGGGACCACAGCCCAAGTGAAACCCTAAACTTTTGTCTGAAACGCCCTAGTGCTGAACTCAGATCCCCCACAGTGATTAGTCAGGGCAGCGGAAGGGATTGAGAAATACAATACTTCCAGCTCATCTCTGGAATCCCTTTACTGGAAGGAAGGTGGTTGATGACCTTATTCTCTGATCCCTTCCAGAATTCAAACACCTGGTTTTCTGAACTGTCAATTTTTTTTTTATTTTTTAATTTTTAATTTTATTATGTTATGTTAGTCATCATTAGTTTTTGATGTAGTGATCCACGATCCATTGTTTTCATATAACACCCAGTGCTCCATGCAATACGTGCCCTCCTTAATACCCATCACCGGGCTAAACCATCCCCCCACCCCCCTCCCCTCTAAAACCCTGTTCCTTTCTCAGAGTCCATAGTCTCTCATGGTTCATCTCTCCCTCCGATTTCCCCCCCTTCATTTTTCCCTTCCTTTTCCTAATGTCCCCCATGCTATTCCTTATGTTCCACAAATAACTGAAACCATATGATAATTGACTTTCTATGCTTGACTTATTTCACTTAGCATAATCTCCTCCAGTCCCATCCATGTTGATGTAAAAGTTGGGTATTCATCCTTTCTGATGGCTGAGTAATATTCCATTGTATATATGGACCACATCTTCTTTATCCATTCATCTGTTGAAGGGCATCTCGGCTCTTTCCACAGTTTGGCTATTGCGGACATTGCTGCTATGAACATTGGGGTGCATATGGCCCTTCTTTTCACTACTTCTGTGACTTTGGGGTAAATACCCAGGAGTGCGATTGCTGGGTCATAGGGTAGCTCTATTTTTAATTTTTTGAGGAACCTCCACACTGTTTTCCAAATTAGCTGTACCAACTTGCATTCCCACCAACAGTGTAAGAGGATTCCCCTTTCTCCACAACCTCTCCAACATTTGTTGTTTCTTTCCCTGTCCATTTTTGCCATTCTAAGTGGTGTAAGGTGGTATCTCAATGTGGTTTTGATTTGAATTTCCGTGATGGCTAATGATGTTGAACATTTTTTCATATGTCTGTTAGCCATTTGTATGTCTTCTTCGGAGAAGTGTCTGTTCATGTCTTCTGCCCATTTTTTGCCTTGATTATTTGTTTTTTGGGCATTGAGTTTGAGAAGTTCTTTATAGATCTTGGATACCAGCCCTTTATCTGTAGTGTCATTTGCAAATATCTTCTCCCATTCTGTGGGTTGCCTCTTTGTTTTGTTGACTGTTTCCTTTGCTGTGCAGAAGCTTTTTGTCTTGATGAAGTCCCAAAAGTTCATTTTGCTTTTGTTTCACTAGCTTTTGGAGATGAATCTTAAAAGAAGTTGCTGTGGCCAATGTCAAAGAGGTTACTGCCTATGTTCTCTAGGATTTTGATGGATTCCTGTCTCACATTGAGGTCTTTCATCCATTTTGAGTTTATCTTTGTGTATGGTGTTAGAGAATGGTCGAGTTTCATTCTTCTGCATGTGGCTGTCCAATTTTCCCAGCCCCATTTATTGAAGAGACTGTCTTTTTTCCATTGCATGTTTTTTCCTGCTTTGTCAAAGATTATTTGACCATAGAGTTGAGGGTCCATATCTGGGTTCTCTATTCTGTTCCATTGGTCTATATATCTATTTTTGTGCCAGTACCATGCTGTCTTGGTGATCACAGCTTTGTAATATAGCTTGAAATCGGGTAACATGATGCCCCCAGCTTTGTTTTTCTTTTTCAACATTTCCTTGGCGATTCGGGGTCTTTTCTGATCCCATACAAATTTTAGGATTGTTTGTTCCAGCACTTTGAAAAATGTCATTGGAATTCTGATCGGGATGGCATTGAAGGTATAGATTGCTCTGGGCAGCATAGACATTTTAACAATGTTTACACATTAATAAGAGGAGGGAGAAGAACCATATGGTCCTCTCAATTGATGTAGAAAAAGCATTTGACAAAATACAACATCCTTTCCTGATTAAAACTCTTCAGAGTATAGGGATAGAGGGAACATTCCTCAAGTTCATAAAATCCATCTATGAAAAACCCACAGCGAGTATCATCCTCAGTGGGGAAAAGCTGAAAGCCTTTCCCTTAAGATCAGGAACATGACAAGGATGCCCACTCTCGCCACTATTGTTCAACATAGTACTAGAAGTCCTAGCAACAGCAATCAGACAACAAAAAGAAATAAAAGGTATTCAAATTGGCAAAGAAGAAGTCAAACTCTCTCTCTTCACAGACGACATGATACTTTATGTGGAAAACCCAAAAGACTCCACTCCCAAATTACTAGAACTCATCCAGCAATTCAGTAATGTGGCAGGATACAAAATCAATGCACAGAAATCAGTTGCTTTCTTATACACTAACAATGCAACTGTAGAAAGAGAAATTAGAGCAATGATTCCCTTCACAATAGCTCCAAAAACCATAAGATACCTTGGAATAAACCTAACCAAAGAGGTAAAGGATCTATATTCTAGGAACTACAGAACACTCATGAAAGAAATCGAAGAAGACACAAAAAGATGGAGAAATATTCCATGCTCATGAATTGAACTGTCAGTTTTAATAAAGCTCACATACAGTATCTGTCCCAATAGGCAAAACTATAAACTCATCTTTCTTAATACCTGATTTGTATGTCTTATTTTCCTTATGTTAGCAGGCTAAATTGACTAGGAGCCTTCAGTCTGTATGGATCTGTGACAACATGGTTTGACTAACCAAATAGCCAGGTGGTTATCCAAGGTATTATCTCTTTATGCCTTCATTCTCTTATTCTAATTATCTCTTATAAAATAAAAGGGGTGTCACAGAAGACCCCTGAATAGCCAAAGCAATCTTGAAAAAGAAAAACAAAGCTGGGGCCATCACAGTTCTAGACTTCAAGCTATATTACAAAGCTCTAGTCACCAAGACAGTATGATACTGGTTCCATAAAGTAAAAGTGGTGGACTAGATAATATATAACACATACATAAAATAATTTCTCAAATTAACTGTTCATGTGTTCATGAGGATGGCAAGCTAAGGATGAGAATTTGCATCTTACTTCTTTGTACCCTACAATTGCTGTTATGGCCATTAAAGCATAAAAGCTTATACTTAAGGATGCCTGGGTAGCTCAGTCAGTTAAGTGTCTGCCTTCGGCTCAGGTCATGATCCCAGGGTCATGGGATCTACTGAATCCTGCACTGGGCTCCTTGCTCAGCAGGGAGCCCACTCCTCCCTCTGCCTGTCATTCTCCCTGCTTGTGCTCTCTCTCTGATAAATAAATAAATAAAATCATCTTAAAAAAAACCTCATACTAAAGGAGGATTCAGATATTGCCTTTAATTTATTCTTTTATCTATTAATGTACTCACTTCTTTGATAAATATTTACTAATGATCAGTATTTATCAAAGAAGTGAGTACATGAATACATAAACGAGAACAAATTAAAGGCAATATCTAAATCCTTTCCTGGCACTAAATGTTATAGTATTATGGCTAGAATGTTCATAAAAAGTCTCCTTAGAGTGGAAACCCTTACAGATATAATTGAGTTAGCAGCTATTTT